AACTTGAAGAAGGTGAATGTTTCCCTAAGTAAATTATCAATTATATGCATTCCTATGGTCTTTGTGGACATTTGAATAGAAAAAGGAACCTCCATTAGTTTCCCCAGAGGAAAAGTCAAAGCTCAGATGCTATCAGAGCATCAGCGTAACACTGAAGTTATGAATGGCTGAAGCACAGGCATTTTATTGTGCATTGGAGAACCCCCCAACCCGTGGGGAGTCCGTAGCATATTCTGGTTTCTGCTGCTCACAGAGCTATGGGTTACATTTACATATATACTGTAGGCTGGATTTTAGGCTCCTCTGTCTTACACCCTAGTTCCAAGTACTGGGGTGGGGGTGGAGAAAGCGTTCAGTGTTTTTCAGGGGAGACAGCTTCAAGGGTGACCATCCTTTTTCCTCTGCTGGCAGATAAAGTCTGCTTTTCAAATGCGAGAGATATTTCATGGTTCATTTAGCTCCTGATCTGTTGATGGTTTTTGATGCTAGCTTTTCTTGTTCTCCCCTCTACTTTTGATGTTGTCTATATCATGTCCGCGGTCTTTCTTCTGAGCTGGCCGCTGTGTATTGTCTGTTGCTTTCTAGACATGTTTGAAGTTTCAGTAATGCAGATATTCTCATAGTCATGAGAATTTCTGATGGTGGTGGTGCAATAGCTGTAATTCTGGCTACTCCTTGTTCCATACAAAAATATCAGCCCTTTTTGATTTTACAGCTATCCATGGTCGTGCCACTCATGTTACAGTGGAATTAAACCTGAAAATGTCTGGACTCAGTCTTCAGATTTCAGAGCCACCATCTACCTTACATAAAGACCTAGTGTAAACTGTGCAGCAGACTAAATGGATATCCTTCAGAGGAAATCCTTGCAATCCCTGGTGTGTTTAGAGATGATCACCGTTTTTAAGAGTGACCACTGCATGGCACTATTGCACCAGCATCACTGCGGCACCAGCCCTGAGGCATGGGAAAGATTATTTAAAATTCTCCCATTACCTCCCTCGCAGTATCCCTTCTGCTGTGTGAACGGCTGCCTCCTTCCACTGCTGAAATATGGGCAGAATGGGGCATGTGCTGCAAGATGGAAGTAGGGCCTGCCTCTTCCCGTGCAATCCTCTCTTCTCTCCACCAAAACCCTGCTGAGAGGGTTTGATCCGACATGATGGGATCTGGCAACAGTTGGATGAGAAAGAAGGTGTTCATGCTGCCCTAAATGTAGGTTTTAAACTATGTCCCTCTCCCTCTGGGAGACGAGTGAGAAGTACTTTTCTCTGTATGGTTTAAGGTGCTGGGAGTAAAGCTCTTTCCCCCACTAATCACAGAGCCCGTCCCTCTGAAAGGACTGCTGAAAGGCAGACAGGTAGATGACTCTGCATGTGTGCGTAGCACGTTGCTGTACCTCAGTGACATGTTTGGGGATTCTGGAGTGAAGGAACAGAGAGAAATTGCTATTTGGCTATAGAAGGGTTAGGATTTTGTTCCAGTCATTCAGAAAAAGCACCTCCACATGACAAGAAGTGTGATAACAAAGGGAAAAAAAGGCATTGTTTTCAAGTTCTGGATCAGTGATGGGTTTAAACCCTACACCCAAGCCTCCTGACTTTGGAAATGTTTGGCTTGGTTTGAGCATAAATTTCGTGTGGCTTCAGTAGGACCTCGTGAACGGTGACAGTTTTGAATTGTTCCTGTTTGATTACTCGGGCAGTCTCCTCGTGGCAGCCTTGACATAACTGATGGGTTAGCTAACAGGAAACCGAGCCCTACCCACCCTCGGGGGGGCAGCCCCGGGACCTGCAGAGGCCACAGGTCAGAAGCGCCTTTCTTGGTGCGCTGCGCAGCTCTGCCCTGCTGCTGAGCCGTCATATACCTCAGTGAGAGGAGGGAGCATCTGCGTGGTGCAATGCCGGAGCTCCAGGCTCCCTCCTGTCCTTTGGGAGGTTTCAGGCAGCCTACGGAAAATGCTCTGCATTGCAGCGCCAGCTGCTCAAAGCTCACGGCATGTAGTTGAGTTGGGCATCTACAGTTAATTAAGAGGGGGCCCAATTTTTCTAATCTAAAAGTCCTGAGCATTCCGTTTGTCGTGAATTAAAAAATAAACTGAGCTATTTCAAGTAGGCAGAATGGTAATACTTCAAAAATGGATGGTTTGACTGTTCTATTACTTTTCAAGGAGATCTTTAATCTGTAACTCCACATGAGAGACCCGTGGCACCAATACGCTTTTGCTAGCACAAGCAGGGAGGAGCTAGGAAGGCAGTACTAAAGCGAAATACAAGGAAATAATGTAAGGGAACATTATTATATAATGTTATAATATACGTCCATTATATAAGGAAACGGCCATGCTGCAGCTTTCCAGGTATTTCTTTTTGCTATTATAGATTAAATATGCAGTGTATTTGCAAACAGGCTTTCAAAATATAGCTATACCTTAATAAAACGAACTCCAGACCCACAACTGTTAAAAGATCCAAGTGAACAGGAGCAGAGCATGGGCTCTGGCACAGGTCTACAGCGCTCACACTGTCTTGTTCTTCACTCATTTCCCTGGTGCAGTCTTGGTACCTGTGCAGAAGCATTTCTCAGGCAATGCTCGGGTCTGTGCTGGGGTGAACATGTGCCAGGGACCGTCCCAACTGGCGCTTTGGATGTGGACACCCTCGTTTGTGGGGGAAGAAAGTTTAGCCCCATGGAGGCAAGGCAGGCTGCCCTCCTTGGCCTCAGCATCAGAGCTCTGCCCTTGGCCTGTTCTCCGAGCAAGCGTAGCCAGCAGGACAAACAGGAAAAGGGCTTGATGCATGACGAGAGCTTGTTAAGTCAATGGACAGTGAAAACTCTAAGTGACTTGCCATTGGGAAATGAAACCAAAATCCAGGAGCTCTCAAACCAAGATCCTGGACCTTAAATTGAAATATAAGCTTGACTGAATGACATTTTTTACTGGGGCTTAAAGCAATATACAAACTTTGAAGCCTTGGGAACATTGAAGCTCATGACATCCAGATTCAAAGTTTGCTATTTGGCTTCTCTACCAGGTTTACTTCTGGTAATTTTGCCAGGAAGACAAGGAATTTAGGCAAGGAAATCCAGCTGCTATAACAAGTTGGAGTACTTCTCTCATTCTGTGGTGCAGAGCTTATTGCACACAGAGCTGAGCTTGCAGCCTTGTGCTTGGATCAGCTTCTGCTAGTTTTTGACTGTGGGCCAAATCTTCCTGGGACATAACTTGGCTCTGAAATAAAATAGGGTCAGAAACTGAGTGTTGCAGATCTGGAGCTTTTGGCCCATCTCTCCGAAAGAGCAAGTAAATAATGCCACTTTCATGACTTTAAATCAGAAAACTAATCCTAGAGGTAACTTCTGATCACCTGTCCAGTTTTAAATGTGGTCAGACCCAATTTTATATCTCAGCTCTGCAGCTCAGCAGTTTCCCTAGCAATTTTGTGTTTTTCAATAAATCCTGTAAATGAATTCTTTTTACCCCGAAAATCAGTGGGTTAACAGCCAGAATCTTGCTGCAGCTATTGATGTATGTGCCCAGAGCTACATTATTCACTTTTCTTTCCCCAAATTCCTTTTTTTTCCCAATATTGAGTCAGGATTAAGGGGTGCATGTGCATGTGTGTGTAGCTAGTTATCTTTTTTTAATCAACCCAGTGCTAGAGGTCACATTTATAGGCTCATTTTATATGGTAATCTTTAAAAACAACCAGCCTAAGCACTGGAAAATGCATAGCAGGGAGTAGTCCTCTGTTAGCAGAGAAATAGGCTTGGTTTATTAACAGTTCTCATTTAAGTCTCATTTCCGTGCTTTTAGGACTACATTAGGTTTTCACCTCACATGGGCACATGTCAGAAAAGTAATGGAGCAAGAGAAAAGACAAGCCCTTTTTCAGTTCACAGAACCCCAATTCTTTATTAATCACAGCTTGCTCACAATGACATACAGGAAAATAGCACTAATGAAGAGTAGAATATGCAGGCAGCAACCTCCAGGGGGGTAGGGACAACTTCAAAACTGCAGCTATTTTGGGGACGATGTGTTAGGTTTGGTGATACTGTACTTGGCACAAGCACCCTGTCTAGTCATTCCTCCTGCTTCAGCCCTCTTAGTCCTAGATGTCTGTCACTAGGTAGGGTTGGCTAACACTGAAGAGTAAAATTCATGATGAATGGAAGTCAGCAGTGTCAAAAAAAAAGGTAACAACTGGCTCATGGGTTCCAGATGAAATATTCGGTAGCCTCTTGTACTATTACACATGTAATGTGGTAGCATCAGATAAGTATCATAGGTCATGGCATCTACAGATAAAGCCACTTGATGCTTTTAGTTGCTCCATCAATAAATTTTCAGGTGGTGAATTAAGCTCACTTTACAATTAGCATTTGTATGGCTGTTTGGCATCATCCAGAATTTGTCATAGCTTGATGGTTACAATGTGCGTCTTAAATTTGCCTCAAACTGATCCCACTTGCATTCATTCTGTTGCACAGCTGTATTTGTTGCCTCTCACTTCAAAAAGCAGAAGCAACAAGTACTGCACGTGGCGATTTAACCTCAATTATGTAGCACACTACAGAGTCCTGTAGTCTAAGTTGCACTTGAAGAAGCTACATTTTAAGAGCCTTTTGTCTTGGACAGCTGAACGTGAAGTCACAATACCTGTGATCTAGTCACTGTTTTAACAAAGCTCATTGATGGCAAAGCAGTCTAGGTTATTAGGCAATGACTGGTCTCTAGCACCATAGAACTACTACTGACCTCGTGGTGGGTTGGAATGAAAGTCGCAGGGAATGGAATTAGACGTGAGGTGCTTCAAATGAACAGACCCAGCAAATTCAACTGAGTGGAAATAGACAACATCAGAAGCCTGTTACAGGACATGTAAGATTATGAAATAACTTGCATAATGCAATACTTGTATTTTTTAACAAAAATGTAAGTATTTACAAAGTAAGATCCAAGTTTTTTAAACATCAAGCAAATCATTCTGCAAAGAGACCGCATTGTTTTTGTTTTTATTTTTGTTTCTTTTTTAAAGTTTTTTATTGAGTTCTTGATTTTTTTTTTTTAAACCATGTCATACATTTCCCATACTGATATCGCATGATCCATAATAATATAGGCAGGGGGAGTTTACTAATGGTGGGGATGGGTCACATCCACCATTGCTGTTTTCAGCCAGACAGTTCCACCTGGAGCTCCTTGTTTCTACGGACCTCTGCAGCATGCCTCTCCTGGAAAACATCAAGAAGAGAAAAATCAAAACTCTTTCTCATTCCGCCTGCCCAGGGAGGCTCCTGATGACAACCCGTTTAGGTTGTGCCTTTGATGCTTGTGCAAAACCTGTTTCACAGCACAACTGTGTAAAGGATGCAACTCAGGAGAGGTGTCCCACCAGACCAGCCTGAGGCATGTCCGATGCTTACATTCTACTTATGCTCTGGAGCTCGGTCTTTTATCTGATATGGCCTTATAATCCTCAGCACCTCACAGAGTTTCATTTTAAAGGCCCACATAGAGCGGTCCTGCTTGCAGCATAAAATGTGCCATGTGCTCACATTTGCCCTTCGAATTCCTAGATGTTAGACTAAATATAGGGAAGGATGAGTGGGCTTGAATTAATTCCGTGCACACTGTATGCAGAAGAAGTGTTAGTTACTGTGTTATCTGTAGCATTTAGGAACCATAAATAAAGGTCCAAGAATTTAGTTCCGTCAAGACGGGTCAATCTGAACATCTCAAACATCGCCTTAGACCAAACAATGAAGCTAGCTGTCGTCTCCATTCTTTCTCTGGCTGTGATGGAGAAGGGACGCAGTAACCAAAAGTCAATGCTAGGCCCTTCTCTCCACTTTCAGCCATGTTATCTTCCCTTTTACAAAAGTAGTCGTAATTAATTTAGACTTATCTGAGCCACTGTATATTCAGATACTTCTGTGGAAATGGGCATGTGGTCAGGAACAACAGCTGTCAAATGAATTTAGGAATGTTCTACTTGGGGTGTTTATAAAACTATTATTTTTGGCAGCTTCTGGGTTTTAGGGTTTTTGGTTTATGCCTCTCTCCTTTCAACTGTCAAACTATCAGATTTTTATTTCTTGTGTCTGATCACTGAAAAAAACCCCAGACAACCAAATGACAAGCACAAGCTCACTACAGAAGCAAACATCCATCCCTAGCCGACTTCACTTTAAGACACCCCCCTAGGTATTGCCATGCATTAGAGGGTCTTTTACGGTCAAAAATTCACTGAAGTAAACACTTATCTTTTTATTGTCTGAGTTGGACTATGGATCACAGGCCAAGACGGCTTATTGCATCAACTGACTCTGTAAATCACAGTTTCTTATAAGACCCATAATTCTGAATGCTAGATTTTATATGGGTCTTGTTCCTTGCTCCTGTTAACTGCAGTATACAGAAGTTATCTTTGATTGTAGGAACTTCTAGACACCAAAACCTCGGGGTGTCCACAGTTCTGTGTAACTTTTGAAGATTTGGACCCAGATATCTCACTTCTTTTCCTGCATATTCAGGGTTCACTTTTGTGTTGGCAAAACTGTATAGTCATGCAATTTTTAATTACTGGTCTGTACAAATGTTCCCAAATGAATTACTGTCATCTTTGTTCAGAAGCCTTCTTTGGATTTCATGCATATATGCCATCATATTGCTGTGGAAATGGGGCTTAACGGTCTGTTAACATTAACCTAGGACAGAGAGATGCTTCAGCTGTCCTTCTGATTTCCTTTTGGGCCTCAAGGATGGCTAATTGACTTTTTCCTTCGTTTTCATAACCTTGGGATATGTGCCTGCAAACTAATCTAATGCAAAAATATCAAGTAATCTGGGTACAGTTCTTAAGGTCAAGAATGATCCTTTGGTTTCTGTTGTTTCTTTCCTGCTCTCCAAGACTTTTTTCTCCGACAAAGAAGCAGAGGTGCTTATGGAGAAGATCTCATTGAACCACTGAGAGCTATTTTCTTTCTGTTAGTCAATTTACTAACATATTAGAAAGTTCATCACTGAGAGAAACAAGTGATCACTCATGCAGAACTAATTAATTTTTTCTTAACACTTCTAAATCTTTATTCACACGTTTCCCTCTCTTGTGTGGAAGGGTTGTTTTGGAGAAAGGCACACTTAGTCCTGCATGGTGGGGTTTGTGATCTACCTGTTTCCTCTGACTGTACCAAAGATCTCCAAAAGAAAATTTACTCTCTTTAGTTGCAAGACTTATGGAAGAACAGGACCCTTTTGATGTACAGGAAATATTTTTCCCCCATATTTTTTCGTCTTTCTCCTCTGAGAAACCAAGAACTACAGACACAGGACAACTGTTTGATCTGTTCAATGGCTTTAGTTGAAATCTAAACACAAGCGACCCTTCATTTGTTCACAGCACTTCTTAAAAGCTAGAAAATCAACCTTTCTCTGGAGACAGTCTAGCGAAGGGCCATGATGACCAAGGAACTGGAACACCTCCCAGTCTCTCCTGTGAGGAAAGGCTGAGAGAACTGGGACTGTTCAGCCTGGAGAAGGGAGGGCTTAAAGGGGGGGACCTTATATAAATACCTGAAGGAGGGTACAAAGAGGACAGAGCCAGGCTCTTCTCAGTGGTGCCCAGTGACAGGACCAGAGGCAATGGGCACACACTGAAACACAGGAGGTTCCCTCTGAACATTAGGAAACACTTTTTCAGTGTGAGGGTGACTGAGCACTGGCACAGGTTGCCCAGGGTGGTTGTGGAGTCTCCATCCCTGGAGATATTCAAAAGCCATCTGGACATGGTCCTGGACAGCCTGCTCTGGGTCACCCTGCTTGAGCAGGGGGTTGGACCAGATGATTTCCAGAGGCCTCTTCCAACCTCAACCATTCTGTGATTGTGTGATTATAGATGTTTAGTCTTTTTCAAAAGTTGAGTGGTGGTTTAGATATGCATCAGGGGCTCTGACTTAAAAATTGCTCAACTGTAGCAACTGAGACAGGAGCTACCGACAACATCTCTTCAAAATATTGATTAGATTTTCCTTTCTAGTCTAGGGTGAGGAGTGATAGTGTGGTTACCTTTTCTTGGAGACGTTCAATAAGAGCAGCTAAATTAGCTTCACGGTTTTCTTTGATCTGTTCCATTTTCAGTATCAGCTTTTCCTCTGCCATTTTGCTGAAGTTATTGTTCTCCTCCAAAGCCTTTTGAAGCACTTCTCGCTCATGTTCTCTCTTCTCTGCCAGATGTTTCAGCACCTGGGCCTCCTGGGACTGGAAACAGAGAGACATGCGGCTGAAATGAAATACTCATGTGGAGCAAAAAAAAACCCCAATAGGGCAACAGTTCACTGAGTTTGGAAACTGCGTAAAGTTTGTTGCTTAGTTGTTACATGCACAGTTTGGAAAGATCACTTCTCCGTGTAAACCCGATTAGCTTCAATAACAGGGGCTTAGAGACACTGGCTAAATGTGAGGTATGTGCCTGAGGCAGCAGCAGAGAAGCACTGCTGTTAACAAGAAATGATGTCATGGTTACTGCCCGGGGTTGTCTGGGTTACTGCAGTGGTTGCTCAACCTCTGACAGCTGCAGTCTTTTAGCTATGAGCATTTTATTTGTAGAGATATGGGATTGGGGGCTGAAGGTATGAACAGTGTTAAAAAGGAAGTTGCCGACACAGGAGAGGTGCATTTTTCACCTAGGCTGGACTATCCTTTAATGTGCTTGAACAGTTAATAACAGGCTTTGAAGTCTACTGTTGTGAAGGACAGACAGAATCAATTCAGACAATGTTTTTTTCCCATGATATTTATGTCTGGGTTAATCTCACTGATTAGGAAGGGAAAAAAGGGTTTTATTCTATAGAAAATAAAAAAAAAGCTATTTTTAGTTAAAAATTCAAATTTTGCAAGAAGATGAAAACTGAAAGTAGGAATTAAATGGATGCAGCCTATGCACAATACTATGTTATTCTTCTTTGTAAACTCATTGCTCAGAATCATAAGCTTTGTTATTTATTTTAAATCAAATTACTAACATGAAACCACTAATCCTAGGAGAGAAGCCAAAGAAGTTGCAGCATTGGGTCCATCCTCCAGGCAAGTCTATTTGAAAAGGCAGTATGTTTCAGAGGGGTTATTTGGAAATGATAAACAACATTGTATGCTTCTGGATAAAATAAATTAGAGGGTGCATGAGAAGCAAACAGAAAACAGGGAATGAAATATGGCTCCAGGAAACTAAGTGTTTATTTCAGTGCAGATCACAATACACTGTTGCCATTGTTATCCATAAAAATAAATTAGTTTAAGGCCTAAATTAAAGGGCTTAACCAATAATTACAATTAGTGATAATGAATCCTATTAAATTATGTCATGTGGCTTCAAATGGAGTAAAAAAGGCTGCAATTCTTTTACATGAGTGAGATCCAAGTAGGAGGAGAAAACAAGTATTTTAACGAAGGTAAGATACACATAAAGCCAAATGCACTGATGAGGCAAATAAAGCAGATTCTAGAAAAGGCTGCAAAAGCCAGGCAGAACACCTTGCAGCAAGACACTGGAGTAAAACATATCTGGCTTTGAAAGGCTGTAATGGCTTGCTTGAGATCAGAGGAAAAAGCTACTTTCATCAATCTTGGCCGCTTAATGTATTTGCTTTCACGTCTGGCCTGGTTGCAGTTAAGGGTTCATTTCTCAGACTGTGATCCCTGGAGCACTTGCTGATGGGAATGGTCTACTGAAATGGCTGGTACCTTACAAAGGCTCTTCCTTGCTCTTACCTCCATTACAGCTTATGCTGAACAGAGAGTAATAGAGCAAGCATTTTTCAGATCTTTGACTCAGAGAAAATAACTGTTGTGCAGGCCAAAAGATGTTGCAAATGGGAACAAAAAGTCCCCAGACAGGCACAGCCAAGAGCAGAGGGAGTTTCACTGGTGGAGAATGGAAGGAGGATGAGCCAAAGGGAAAAAGAGCTGGGCAAAGGAGGAATTTTGTAGACTAATTGAAAAATCATAAAAGCCCCATAAGTTTAACAAAAACATCAATAATTTTAATAATCATATAATAAAAATAGGTTATTTTGAAGCAAAATACTTGATTCCAGATACTTAGCATTTAACATTTCTTTAACTGTAGGCTATTTCAAAATGTAAAAAAGTTATTTTGAAAGATTTGGTGCAACGTAAAACTGAAATAATTGAACATCTTCATCTTGTTTTACCATTTTTTGGACCAATTTGAGTGGCTCAGTTTGACCAGTGCTTGTGAAGTTATTCTGCATTTTCTGTTTAATTTACTGTTCAATGGCAACCTTTCATCTAATTTTGGAAAAGTTATCGTCATTAAATTTTGGTTGCTGATATGAATTTTGTGAACCCTTTGCTTAAGTTATCTAAAAGTAACTTTGATAATCTAAGAATCTATTTCCCTTCCCGTTGGGAGTTTGAATAGAAAAAATATTATGATACTAATTGTAATGGCCTTTCCCATGAAACGTTTAAGAAGTGACTTGTTAATTTGGATGGCTAACATTTCATGGTGTTAAATATGTATATATACTGTGTTATAAAATCAAGCACTTTCAGATTTGGAAAACAGACATTTCCAAGGACATATCCAGGGCCCATGGAGATGCTATAATAAAAAGTAAGATTTGGACCGTGCCTATAAGCAGCATTTTTGAAAAGAACATTGGCTTTCAACAGGAGGTAGCAAAATGCCTTTGAGACTTTGGGCACTTGCCCATTTTTCAGGATTTGTTTTCTTCTCTTCAAACCTTTTGTCTTCTGGAACTACTTATTGTCATAAATCCAGGAGAACAGTGAAAAATTAGAGTTCCATATCAAAGTACACACAGTTCTGGAGGCTACGCTGGCAGACATCGCATTCAAAAGTAATTTGTCCACTAATGCATGATAATGAAGAAAATCCTGATAGACTAATTCAGTATTTACTGAATGCAAATTGCACTGGCACCAGTAGGAGTCTGAATGAAAGCTAAACCAGGCCTCAGGAACTGACTGCACACCCCAGTGCGATTTTCCTTCACGATATACCTTAAACAGCATTCCTTTTCCTCACTCAAAATGTTCAAGCTCTGGTTCAAAATAAAGGCACCCTCCTCCCCGCCACAAAACATCCACGGGGCAGAGTCTCATTTAAACTGACGTCCCTCTTCCAATGCCATTGTACCCCAGCTGCGAGTCTGCCTGTTTCCTTGGTGTTCAGACCATTTTTGAAATCCCCTTAGGACAATTTTGGAAGGTGGTTGGTATGTTTTTGTACTGGATTGTCAAACGATTTTCTGTTTCCAACACATTTGGCAAAAGAACTTGGCCACCCTGTCTGTTCAAAGTGTACTACACATCCAGAAATGGCTAAATGAATGACCCCAGATACCTAGTGGGCCTGGGATTAATAGACTCCCTTTGTTGTTTGTGTTGGCTTTTAACTGCTGTGTTTGGACTCCCGTGGTCTTGACACAGGTTTCCAACATATGTAGGAAGTTTTTATTCCAAGTTTGTCTTCAACATTGTATTGTTTGAAGTGCTGGAAAGGATATTTTCAAATCCTTGATAGTTGATATTCTAACACACTTGTAAATGGCTTACGGTAAGTGCTTCTTGTACAGCTTTTGTAAGAAAATGAGTAAAAAAGGCTGGAAATGGGATGAAAGATAAGGAAGATTAATAAGGAGAGAAAATTATGGAATGGTGGAGAAAGGAAGAAACAATACTCAAGAGGGAATATTCAGAAGATTTCTTAAATATAACAAGGCTTAATCAATGAAGCTACAGCACATCTAATGCTAGGTGTCGAGGATAAAAATGTTGTAAAACATTCCTGGTACAGACACTTTTGCTCCTAGAAATGTACTACTGTGCTAAAAACTTCTATGACATTCATGTCATATTTCTAAAGGGTCATGTGCACCCCCAGTTTTCAGAGATTAGTGTTTCAAAAGGAAATCCACATCTCATATTTAGGTGGCCAGAGATAGATGCAGACAACTAAACATTCACTTTATGAGCAAAATGGTTTATGGAAACTGGCTTTGAGATAGACACATATATTTTTTAATTATTACTCACAGGAAGAAAATTCTATTTATATGAGTAACAGGTGCTTTATTTTCTCACATTTATCTATTTTTGACGTGTACATCCAAATATTGAAGTCATTTATGCAGAGATAAAATTAAAGGATTACTTTTAAGCAAGAAATGGGCTCAGACAACTGCTTTTAAACTAGGAATTTCAGCTTGAATGCAATCACCTGACCATCTTAGTTCCTAGGATGTATGAGGCACACTACCAGCCATGAGAACTCTGATTTCATGACACATTCATTCACTGGCTGGATTTTTTAAAATTAAATTGTTCATCAGAAGCTGCATTAACGTTGGTATTCTTCAGTGTATTGTGTATTTAAGAGATAGTATTAATGGAGCAGAATGTGAAGACAGGATTAAAGGCACCTACTGCAAAATAAATGCCAAGGTAAAGCCTAGGTATTAGTCAGAAAGAAATGGTGAGTTGAAGTAGTGATGTTTTCAAAGGAAGTAATTGAGGTTGGGATTTTTCCATGTAAAAGCAAGGGAAAGGACTCAAGTTAGACCTCGCTCATGGCACTGGCTTCCTCATACCTCTGTATGGTAACATGCTATTCCTCACTGGGAATACTATTATTTGTATTACATTAGCACCTGTTCTGGCTGTTGTGAGGACTCACTGTCCCAGGCAGTGAGCAAATATACAGGGAGAGGCAGTTCCTCTCCCAGAGTGATGACAGTCTAAAGAGACACGAAGAAGAGGGGGATGATCCTGCTCCGTGGAGTCACAGAGCAGAGGAGTGAAACGGCCATGTGGCAGGAGAGCCAGAGACATCTGAACTATAACCGTAGGTGAAGTCCTGCTTCTACTGAAACTAGATGGTGCAAAATTTTGCTTGAATTCAGATGAGAATCCTTTTTTTTGTCCAGTCTGCCAAGGGACCTTTGGGTCGGGGCTACTAAAAACATGAAGTAGAGTAAAAAAAAAATAAAGAGCCCATCCACAAAGTGATTCCAGAAAACTCACTGTCTCTTCCTCAGCTGGCACAAAATTGCTGCTCTCAGGGTTGTGACCCATGGGGGTAAACAAGGCATGTTGGAGGGATGCAAGCGGTATCACCTGAGCTCTCTACCTGATGTTCCCCTACCTGCTCATGGGGCATTTCTTGATCTGCTGCAGTCTGAAGCCTGGCATTTTAAAGTTAATGAAGATCAAGGTCAGTTTGTCTTGTGATTGCTGCAAAACAGCAAAGCCCACGGTAGACTGTGGGGAGAAGCTTTGCCAGCATTGGGATATATGCCGTCTCTGCTCACGACTCCACGTGCTCCGAGACAGACCCTGGTGCCTAACACCAAACCTTCTCCTAGCTGGTAGCAAACACCTTCCCGTGGGCACATATCCCATAGGCTTACGCTTTCTGGATGAGGAACTGCGGAGTGGCTTGTGGTTTTGGCTATCTTTTGTAAACATTAGGGGTGAAGCACCATGTATGGAAACGCTATGGTGTAAATCAAAACGGGGCAGAAACGCGCGGTTCCAGTGCTGATTCCACACACATTGCTGGGACCTTTACACAGAAAAGCATTTCATGCTGTATTCCCTCTCCGCACAAGCACAGCCAAGGGCCAACAGTAACAGAAAGGGAGGTGAGTAGATGGGCAAGACAGGAGGCAAATGCCTTGGGCAGTGCCCGTCCTCCCTCCCAGCCTGCTCGCTTACAAATTACAGGAAACCAAGGAGGGGAATAGGAATGAGTTGGAAGAACAAAGAAAGCTCCACTTTTGCCAGGGAAGGTGCTGATCCCTTCTCTGCATCTCCTCTTGGCTGGAGCAGCAGTTTTGTAGGTCCCGCACAATTTCTAGGAGGGGGCATTTGTCCCCCAGCTCCGCCATCTTCCCCGCCTTGGGGAAGCCTTTTCCCCCAACAGCCTCCTGTACTGTGCGGTAATGCATGGGTGGCTTTTTCAATGCCAAAGGAAAGACGGATCAAGAGTATTAGGAAGTGCCTCTGGGCAGGCTGTGGGGCTGGCTCAAAGGGGCAGCGAGTTGGGTGCTGAAGCCCGAGGCAGAGTGCGGCCACAATGCTGGCAGAGATGCCCTGGGCTGCCTGCCTGCTGCAGGGAGCACAGCAAGCCTTGCCCAGTCTAGGCTGCACCGGGGGCTTATTTTGCAGCATTTCATAGTAATGGTATTAAAAACTCATGTAGCTATGTCTATATCCAACAGCATGAAAGTTAAAAATTATGACTGTTCTCCTGCATTCTTTGTGGCGCTAAGCACTAGGGATGAGCCTGATTCAATTTCATCCCAATAGAAAGCCATTAAGAGGATTTAATTACATACGATTTCTCTCCCATAATCCAAAGTCTAGTAGAAATGTGTGTCCCTTTAGTGTTTCATTTTTATGCTAGTAAGTTGAACATGGGCAATAAAGATATATAATTCAACATATGGCTCTTGAAGTCTGTACATCAAGTGTAACAATAGCTGAACATTCAAGGCCAATGGATAAAAATTGATAAATGTTAAAAGTTCTGTGAGGAATAAACTTCTGCTGCTTACAATGTCACTGTGCTCTAATTTCTTAAGTGGTAAGGATGAAAAGATCTTTCCGATTAGCCACAAAGGTGGGAAAATATAGCACACATATGCCAAAAAAATAATGGGATAATAACGACAGGCCGTAAAGAGGATTCTGTAAATGGAAAGGACAAATCTGTAACTAGCCCAAATGGGTCTCACTGTGTGGTGCAAAAGGAAAAAATGCCTCAGGTGAAACTCTCAGTCTGGTCTGAGAGTATGAGGTTACAGTGACTGTCAAGTGAGGTAGAGAAAGAGGGTGAGAAAAGGAAAGAGCCCTGTAAAAGCTTATAAGGGAATCAACAAGAATGATGAGAGGAAACAGCATAAGCAGGAGACTGCTGAAGTGCATGTATTGCTGTACGTGTTCTCATGAGTTCTCATGAGTTTGAAAATTTATTAATGAACACTGCCTAATTAACAGAGCAGAACCTAATTCCTAAACAGTGTGAAATCAATCAGTATTTGTTCTGAAAAGGCAATTCTCATCCATTAGTTATACTTGATTTTAATTAGAACTGTGCTGGAAGGACACAATCTAGAATGGTCATGCCTGACAGCTGTTGTACATAGATTGAAAAGTATGATAACAAATGCCATGCTGGATGTCAGAAAGTCTGTCTGGTTTGTCTAGCAGCAGAAAGTGGAAGATGCTTAGGGAGAGTGTAGATGAAATTGGGCAAATCTGCCTGGTCATTTCCGAGAGAGAGAGATATATATAGGTCCCTAGCTTTCAGGAGTCACCAAGTTACGTATTTTCTGAGCCAGAGGCTGCATTCATATAATCATTTCGTACAAGGTAGTGCTCTATCAATTTTGCTGTTATCTTTTTGAAATAAATAATATTTTAATAATCTCTAAATAGCCTGTGATAACAAATACAGCTTGATTAAACAATACATGAAAAGGTGATTCCCTGCCTCTGTTTTGAAACTTGTCTGATGATTTCATTGAGTGTTTCTTTCCCTTTGGATTGTGTGAAACAGAATATAATTGTTCCTATTCATCTTCTCATTACCATTCACGACTTTGTAGACTTCTATCTTCTCTTCCATCTGTTGTCTCTTTCCAAGCTGAAAAGTGGACTATTTAATTTATCTTCTTATGGAAGATGTTCTGTTCCTCTGATTGCTTTTTTATCCTTCTCTGCAATATATTCTTTTTCAGGCCAAAAATGAAGGCAATAGTTGAGATGTGGGAGCACCAGGGATTTTAACAGTTAGGTAATGAAGTTTTCCGCTCTGTTCTTTGTTCCTTTCCCAGCAATTTCTGCTGCAATGCTAATATGGAGGATCTTGTCTATTAAAAGAACTCAGTTATATGCTCATTCAAAATGAATACAGTACCAAGGGGAAGAAATGGCAGGTGTCTGTATTGCTATCACTGATTACCAGTTTACTGCATAATGAATTTTTCTTTAGGAAGAAATGAATAGTAACAAAATAAATGAAATTAAATCTCTGGGACATTAAATTTGTATTTCCCACCAAGTATAATATCAGGCTTCTTAACTGCTGCCATTTCATTCTGTCCATATCTTTACTTGAGCATTTGTACTCAGTACAGAGGCACTTCACGGGTCGAGTCTTTGGGGCATATCATCATTTGGGTGTGTGAAAGCTCAGACTTCTGGGCAGGTGCTAGTGCAAATGCATATTCCTTTCACATACAGTCATGTCCTTTTACTGAAACGAATATTCTGGCAGAAATATTTCTTTGAAAGAAGCAATAGTGCTAATGTGTGTGCATTAGAAGCAGAGAGTCTGTGTTAGTAAGGCAGCAGAAATGGCAAATGCGGCAACACTTCAGTGTTCACCTAAATGAATTGTTCAAATTAGTGAGGTCCAGAATAGTCAGGTTTCACTGCAAATCAAAACTGAGTGCCAGGTTTTAAGGACCTGTCAGTAATCCAGATCTGCTGACTCCAGTGGATTCACATCTCACCACACACCAGTGTAAACACTCCACTGGGTTTCTTGGAAGCGACCCTGATCTGGGGTGCTATCTGTGGCATATCTGCTGTCCCTCCCTGGACTTCTGTATACACTTTTGTCTGTATCTGGAAACAATTATGTAAATGTCAGTTTTAGTAACAAATCACATTGTTTAAGAGACAAATGAAAGGCTTAGAGACATCTAAGCTTGTTTCATTTTTAGATATGCTCTACCAGGGACTCCATGAGCAGGTGGAAGGGGTTTCTAACTCCAGTTTAACTGGTGTAGGCAGATTTGCCACAAAATAACATTGATTGCCTGGTTGAAGGACACAGAAAGTCCTTCTATGGCTCCTGAGGCTTCTCTGGCTTCTGTGGCTCTCCTCTTGTGCCATACCAAAAGGAAACATGGATTAACCAGGACAATATATAACCACATCTTGAATTTTCTGTGGCCATTGCAGCCAGCCATGACTTTCCTGAAATGGTGCAACACAGCATAAACACTGGGCCCATACAGAACACTGCTAATTTTCAGACTGGCAATTCAGGCTGGCAATGGTGTCTCATTGGCTTTGCCTGTCATCCTCTGACTTATTTGATCTGGAATTTTGCCTTTTATCTTCTGGAAAAAAAAAAAGGCAATCTGAGCTAGCTCTGAGTTAGAGCAAATAAAGACCTCTTCAACACATCAGTCATGATGAAAGCCAAATAAACAGTTAACGTGGACTTCCTGTTGCATGCACCCTGCATTTGTGCTAACCTTTGTGAAGAAGGTGTAACAACCCTTCCAAACCCTATGTGACAAACTTATTGATTGTGAAACAGGGTTTTACCATTAAGGGTAAGGTCATAAAGAAGGGAAGACTTAGTCTGTAGATAACCCTACAAGGCCAACTTCCAGCGCTATTGAGACTGTCTGCTAGAAATGCCTCTCCTTAGCAGCTGTGCTATGCTAGTGTCTTCATCCAAGTGTGTGGTGAATGATCCAGAATGCTCTTTATTCAGGGCTGACATGCTTCCATACTGCATAAATAAGACATTTTAGCTGCCTCAGGCAGGCCTTGTGCGTAATTTCCATGGGCACTACAAAGAGTCAAGACTGCACATCCATCTCTTAAACTTAGACACCAGAAGAATTACACTGGTTTTCAGCAACTATTATAGATGCTCTGAATGAACTACTTAGACTCACACAGTAAGCATGCGTATTTGAACCCACTTGGGCCTCCTGTCCAAAGCTATCTGTATTTTGTGATGTATACTTCCCAATCATCAAAACCAGTGAGGTTTGTTTGCAAGCTGCTGAAAGAAAATAAACTTATTTTTTCTTTAAACACGTTAATAATTTTTGTCCATGCAGGCCACTGTGATTCAGTGATGGCAATGGAAAACACATCAACGGACAGGAAACTTGGCTGTTATTCTGTACACTGTCAGGTCTCATTACTAGCATTTTTGTAAGGAAAGATACCTTTCTCCTCTCCTCGGCAGCCTCCAGCTTTTTCTGGATCTCCTCAAGAGAGAGTTCTTTCTTCTTTGGAGAAGCTAAAGTTCGTGGTGCTTCTGAGACCGGAGATGGCGGCTTTAGGATCAGTTCAAAGGCCTGGCCCGAGGCACGTTTGTTGATTTGTTTCACTTCCATGTCTGCACAATAAAGGGAGAAATGCTAAGCCCTTCAATACCTCAGCGGTATTGAGGAGGGAAGCAGCACAGACATTAGTGTAGGATCAGAAGTACAGACAAAAGATTTAGCATCTTTGCCTTGGGCATTTTAAACGCAATGGCAGATTATGGGCTGAAAACTGTTCTCAGGAGAAGTACATTCCATTTTATCTGTAATAGCTTAATTATACTTTAATCTCATAAAGATAAAAATGTACAGCAGTTTTGGAAGCTTATTGGGGTTCTGTGTCATTTCACACCCCCTGCGAGCAGTGCCCAAGCTGATTAATTTTTTAAGCATGCCTTCATCTTTTCTTGGTTTCCTTGGGAATTATGTCAGCTGTGAAGAGCTGTAATTTTCAAATGGGTAGCAGGAAAAGTACAGCTCAGTATGAGAGGGCTAGCTTTAAGAGTTTAGTTAGCTGCTATCAGGAACAATATCCAGCATCACGGGTAATACACAATCAATAGAAGGTAATAGCCAAAGCCAGCAAATGAATTGTTAAATCAGCAAAACATCCACTGACTAACATTATGGACTGGGACGGTGAACTGAGTCATTTCCCAGCAGTAGCACATTATCTGACCTGCAGGATGATTTCCAGTGAAAGTCACTCACCATCATATTTATAGATGTTCATGTTGCGAGGTTCAGGGTAAAAACAGGAGCAGATCAGAGAGAGCATGGACAGCTCCTTCATCTTTTCCTTGTAAGCTGAAACGAGAGACCTTGTTAGCACGCTTCACTTCCCCAGCTCCTCCTTAGTGAATCTCTGACTGAGGTGACTGGCTGGGGACCAGCAAATCTGCTCCATCATCCACCTGGCAGATTTCTCTAGAATATTTACTTTCAACTATTTCTTCTGAACATTGAGCCTTTATCAAATCACACGAGATGCTCAGTACTGCAGAGACTGCTTCTGATCTCCTACATTACCTCAGCTTTGGGTGTAATGCAGACAGTCCTCTCTGGTTTATAGAAAGTTAATCTGGCTACCAGGAACTGTATTTAGCATTGGAAGAGTGCCATGACTCCACTCTCTCCTGGCAGGTGGAGAGACATGAAGCTCTTACAAATTCTCTGACGTATCCAAATGCAATTGAGAACAGCTCTGAAACGCTGCCCGTGTGTTGCCACAGGCAGATGCTAAAGACATTATCTGTTACAAATGAAAATGTCATCCAGATAATTAAAAATAAAAGCAGAAATGAGGATATATTTATCAAATCCTTTGCATAATGTCCTTAATATGCGCAACTACTTGAAACAAAGCTTTTCCTTCCTCACTTACTGGCCAAAATATGTTGCTTCCATACTCACATCTAGTGCGTATCAGCTGATGCAATAAATACCCTTGTAATTTACCTTTACGGTGTTACCTTTACTGACTTTGGCCTATAGGCCCCAGTCATGGACTGAGGAGGGATTGGTCTAGAAATGGTGATATCAATACCTAACCATTAAACGATGTTCTGTGTTCACCCTTTCTAATTGCTATCACCCATAAGTAGAAAAATAGTCTTGTATCTGGTCACTTGGCAGTTTAATGACAGAGCTCAGACTAGAGCCAGCTCCTGAGTCCTGGGGCCCTAGCCACTGCCCACACTGCATAAAATATGTATGTTGAGGGGGGATTGCTTCAAAATTCATCTTGGCACACACAAATCCCTGCTACTATCAAAATCATATCTACAGAGGCAGACACACATTTGCCTCCAGCATGTGAAAAGATTGCTTAAAATATAACTGTGGCTGAAAGTATTGTTCTTAACAGATTAGACCAAATTAATCCTTGATGTTACTAAAGGAAAATCACACAGCCCTTTGATCTTCAAATTGTGGATACATACGAAATTGTCATTCAGTCTTTCTCATGGCTGTTCTTGTGCTTTTTGAATTTGATTTTCCTGCTCAGAAAGGCCGCCAAGGTTGATGAGGTCTTGAGAGCATTTGGGTACTCCTCAAAATGGTGGTATTTGAATGATCCATCAGTTCAGAAACAGATTTCTAACTGCCAGTGGATGATTAATTATCTAATTAAGCTTTGCATGGGGGCCCCTAATAACGGCCCCTAAATAACCCACCTAAAGGACATATAGCTTTTCAGAAACCATTGGTGAAAGCCAGCACCTCAGGTCAAGAGGTTGTGTTGCCACAACAACCCCATGCAGCGCTACAGGCTTGGGGAAGAGTGGCTGGAAAGCTGCCTGGTGGAAAAAGACCTGGGGGTGCTGGTCGACAGCCGGCTGAACATGAGCCGGCAGCGTGCCCAGGCGGC